TTGCATTATTAATTAGCCGCTATTTGTACTAGTTACCCACACGGTAATTAGTCGTTATGTTTATAATAATATATTTCATCTTCGTGCAGCGCCGTAAGAAAGGGAATCGGAACGATTGCTCGGAATAAAAGGGGTATTCGGGATCGCCAGCGCCGTGGAAGACGGCGGTTGAACGCGTCTTCTTAGTATACAGAACATGTTAGAAGCAAATCGTCGGTAGAGATTAATGGAGACTATCGGAATTCTGGTGTAAAATAAAAAAAAAGAAACCTTAGATAAAGAAAGTGAAATTCCGTGTTACTTCGTCTGCTGGAAATCACTCTGTAAAAACGCGAATTTGCATAAACGTCCGCAACCTGTTGATCGCCCTTCTCTTTCGAGCGTTGTTCCCCAACGAGACCCGTGTCGCGACCGTTTAAAATGACTTCCAATTCCAGTAGAACGATTTTTACATACCGAACAATCCACCGCCAGGAATCGCCGATGATTTTGTGTATTCACGACGAAACCGAGCAGACGGAAACAGAAAATAGTAGAGTAGCGGGAGCCGGTTGCTACACGATGACCGATTCCCGTGCCTTTGGTTCGTTTCGTTTTCGGGCATAATTAACTTTATAGTTATCAAATAAGAGATATTACGTTTTTGTAGCTTGTTGTTTTGTTTATTTTTTAATACAAAAATTTAATCCGTCTTTTTCTTTTATTCTTCTGTTTTGTGTATTTTTTAATAGGAAATCTGACGCGTTTTATTCTTTTATTCTTCTATTTTGTTTATCTTTGAATTGAAAAATTTAACATTTCTTACTCTTTTAATCTTCTACTTTGTTTATTTTTTAATAAGAAATCTAACGTATCTTATTCTCTCTTTCATTCTCCTATCTTATTCATCTTTAAATACAAAAATTTAAAATTTCTTATACTTTTATGCTTCTATCTTGTTTATTTTTTAAACAAAAAATTAATGTGTCTTATTCTTTTATTCCTCCATTTTGTTCGTCTTTGAATAAAAAAATTATAAATTTCTTATTCTTTTATTCTTCTATCTTGTTTATCTTTGAATACAAAAATTTAACATTTCTCACTCTTTCATTCTTTCATTTTGTTTATTCTTTAATCCAAAATTCTAACGTCTCTTAGTCCCTTATTCGTCCATTACGTTTATCCCCGAATAAAAAGACGTAATCTTATCCTTTTATTCTCCTATCTAGTTCATTTCCGGATACAAAAATTGAATATATCTTATTCGATGAATACGAAGTTAATTATACGCGAAAACAAAGCAAAAGCGCAGCGATCGATCGTCGCACGGCAACCGGTTCCCTAGGTATCGAAGTAGCTCGGGATCGCCGATAAAGCGTTCTCAATTATATCAGAAAATTGTCGCCGGGACATCCGCGGGCCGCAAACAACGAATTACGTATCGAGGAATTTTTACGAGTGTTTGCACCTGCGAGTGGAATTTCCGGAAAGAAGCTCGCGCCGATCCGCGGACAAGAAACGCGAGACGATGACTGCGCGCCGCGGCGTCGTCGCACGGAATTTGAAGTTTCTGTTTTCTGGAACAGGAAGTGCCGCTTCTAAGAGACGCGTTTTTTCCCCCGTGTATATCGAGAGGAGCGATCCGATCGAGGGACGACGAGGTGGGCAGGGACGACGGCGACGACGGTAAACGAGCGAACGGTTTTCCGATAGCTCTCTTCGTTCTCTCCGACCGTTTCGATACACTGGCTCCTGGTGGTCACATAAACCCCGGCCGCTGACGTGACTGAGAATTTAATGAAATGAGACATCGCGCGACTCGGATCGAAAAACTGACTTTCTCACGATTCTTCGCATGCATACCGTGACTTCGGCGTAACAACGGCCCGTAGATTTATATTGATTGCGCATAATTATATCCTGGCGACCGAGAAAACAAACGCCGGGCCCCCTCGCCCCGCGATTTATCGATGATTCGCGTCTGTCCTGCGAATTGAGACGTCTCTCGATCGGCGTCTAACCGATTGGAACGTGCTACGCGGCTCTACTTCTTTTCGCTGTCGTACTCGTCGCTAACTCGCGCATCGGTATCGGCGTCGTATCGAGAATGCGCGATTTTACCGTTTTTCTCTCAGCTGTTCCTTCGAGAAATCGAGAGACCGGGTTGCTCCATCATTCGACGACGGCGACTGGCGCCACGGGGAAAGTAAACGCGATACATGAACGAAAATTGACTATTTGTAGTTGTAAACAATAATATCATAATAATAATAATGTATAATATAATAATATAATAATAATAATAATGTATAATATAATAACATAATAATAATAATAATGTATAATATAATAATATAATAATAATAATAATGTATAATATAACAATACAGCGTGTCCCAAAAATGTCTCGCAATCTGAAAGTGGCGGGTTCCTCGGGTCATTTGAAGCAACTTCTTCCTTTACAAAAATGTTCTCCGAAGCACCGTTAACGAGTTATTAACGAAAAACAGTGACCAATAAGAATCAAGTACGGCTGACGCGAGGTGGCCCAGCCAACCAGCGCACGAAGCCCAGTTCCGCTCATTGACTCGGTCGCCTCGCGCCAGCTGAGCTGGGATTCGACCGCTTCGACCGCTGCCGCCGTTGGTTCGGCCGCCTCGCGCCAGCTGAGCTGGGATTCGACTGTTTGACCGCTGGCGCCGTTGGCTCGGCCACCTCGCGGCAGCTGATCTCGCCTCTCATTGGTCACTGTTTTTCGTTAATAACTCGTAAACGATGCCTCGGAGGACATTTTTGTAAGGGAAGAAGCTGCTTCAAATGATCCGAGGAACTCGCCATTTCCGGATTGCGAGACATTTTTGGGACAGCTTGTATTATAATAATAATAATGTATAATATATAATAGTATAATAATATTATATATCATATAAACTAATATAATTATTTTAAATAAATAATATAATATTGTATAAGTTGTAAAGTTACAGTTGACAATCTGAAACTATAAAAACGAGCCGCAAAGCTCTCGAATAATCGTGCCTCCTCCTTCCAAAAAAAATTGTCCATTTTTGTATACAATCTGGAATCTCCCTCAATTAGGAAGAATTTACTGTACTTCGCAATTCTTTTGAAACGATAGATTAAAAATAGTTAGCGACATTCGCGACTAATTACACGATGTAGGGGGCGTATTCGTTCGGAGCCTGTGAAAAATATGTGCGTTCGACACGAGCGACACACGAGGAACAACATCGTGTATGCTTGTCACGAGAATATGCGATATTCAATCGGTTTGAAAGCAATTGAATCTACAAGAACATTATCCGTGGCAAATCGTATAGGCGTTGTCAGTCAAAGAACACCGAGCAACATATCCTACCGATATTATCCCATAACGTATACGTACGTGTTGCAATTACTTAAATTATAGTGTAAAGTGAAAGCTTCGGTATTGGCTCGCTGACAACGATCTCAATTCTTGCGGTGAACAAAACGAACGATGTGCTCGCGTTTAACGCGCGACAATGTGCGTTATTCGGCAACAAAATTGCCAAAACCGTGCTACAATTCTCCGCGTTACGCTTCTCTAGATTTTAAAAATGACTTACTAGTCATTTCTACGAATTTCTAGACGCCATTTAACCCGTTACACTCGATTTATCCGTGTCAGTGGCGTAAGAGACTGCCGACAGTCGCGGTATTTGCAAGATTAAACATTTCTGTTTCATAAAATCTGTGTCTTTGCAATCTTGTAACAAAATCTATTCAACCAGAGCAGAATAGCGGAGCCGATTACCGCGAGATGATCGATCGCTATGCCATCGATGCGTTTTATATTCGCCGAATAAGACATACGAAATCTTTGTATTCAAAGATAAACGAACTAAAGGAATAGAAGAATTTTCAATAATTAATTAATATTCGAAAAATATAAAGTTAATTGTGCCAATTGGTCAGCCCACGGTAACCGGCTCCGCTAACCTAATCGTTTCGAACGCTGCGTCATTGTACATTTTATTCGTAGCTACAGTCTAGCTAATTTTATTCTAGCTAATGTCTCTCTAATTGACGCTCGGATTGCCCATAAAATTGGACAATTTGGGAAGAAGAGATACGATTATTCGAGTCTTGTAGCCCGTTTTTATAATTATTGAGAATCAGTGACCATAAAAGCGACACTAAAAGCTCGAATATTCGTATCTCCCCTTCCCAAATTGCCCATTTTCGTGGACAATCGGAGCGTCAATTAGTTATAGTTATAGTTATAAATTGTCCACAATTATAAAAACGAGTCGCAAGGCTTGAATAATCGTATCTCCTGTTCCCAAATTGTCCATTTTTCTGCACAATCTGAGAGTCAATTAGGGAGACATTACTGTACTTATATTATTGGATCGTTCGGAAAGTTGTTCCGTTTTTCATAAAAATTTCACTTTGTAAGGATGTTAAAAAAACACTCGATTCAGTATTTTTCCAAATGTAAAACAATAAGATTTCAAAGCTGCCAGAAAAATGTCGGAAAGTTTGCTTTTACTCGTAACATGAAAAAGATCGTCTTTCATTTTCTCGCGAAAGTACGAAACAACTTTCCGAACGACCCAATAATATAAGTACAGTAATGTCTCCCTAATTGACGCTCGGATTGTGCAGAAAACTGGACAATTTGAGAAGAGAAGATAGGATTGTCCGAGCGCTGCATCTAGTTTTTATAATCGTTAGCAATCGGTAACTATAAAAATGAGCCGCAAGGCTCGAATAATCGTATCTCCTCTTCCCAAATTATCCAATTTTATGGACAATGATGAGCGTCAATTACAGAGACATTAGCTAGAATAAAATTCTAGCTAACGACGATCCAACGATCTAGAAACAACGATCCGATAGAATTGCGATTCGATTGTTTCACGAATAACGTTCGATCGGGCGGTCGTGGAAAATCGGCGAGTGCGAAGGTTTTGGTATCGATATCCGCGGAACGAGCCGAAATCAAGACGTACTAAGGCCACCGTTGAAAATTGCAGGTTCGAATTACCGTCCTCGACAAGAATGACGTGGCGCCGACCTGGGGGACGGGCAACTGGAGGTTCAACGTTTCCGAGGAGGCGCCCCCGAACACCGTTGTCACCGTCCTAAAAGCGTTCGACCCGGACACAATCGGCACGCTGACTTACACCCTGGTGCCGAATCATCGTCCTGGCAGCGAACCGATCGACGAAGCCGAGAGTCATTTCAAGCTTCACCCGACCACGGGACAGCTGACTCTCGCGGAGGCCCTCGACAGAGAAACCAGAGAGAAATACGTTCTGAGAGTTCGTGCCGATGACGGATTGCAACACACCGACGTCACGTTGACCGTTCAGGTACGTTTTACGTTTTAACCGAGAAACGCCGGCGTACGCTCGTTTAAAACTAGGTATACCGAGGAAAATGTCACGTAACAGGCCGCCGCCGGAGAACGTGCTGTCCGACGATAGATCATTCGACGCTTGTCTATCCGGGAAACGTGAAACGGTAATCGCTCGATCCGCCGAAGTTACGCGAATGATGAAATTTTGGTGGTCTTCGATGGCCGGCTGCTTCGTCGACGAAATCACCGTCGACGGGTGCCTCGTTTAAATGCACGCCTCGTTTAAATGATTCGTGTGTTCGACGCGTTTGTTCCCGCAGTTGGTAACTAGGGTTTAGATCGGTGATTGCGAACCTTTTTGAGAAGTGGGACAAATTTTTTTTTTGGTACTAGCTCGTGGATCGCTAAGTCTGAGGCGTCACTTCGAAAGGGGGAGGAGAGGATGGTTAAAAATTACTGTTTTACTGTAATTACTGTTATTACTTTTAAAATGCATTAAAAAGTCTAAGTTTCCTTTCTGTTTTACAAATTTTACTTTTGCAAGCGAAGAGCGAAAAATAAAGGTCGACGTCAAAAAATTGATATAAATGGGGTGAATATTAAACTATTTGAATGAACAAAGAATAGAGAAAATTATATATATATTCTTTAAATTCTTATTTTAAAAAATATATATTGTATTTGGCTTAATATAGTATAGTTAAATTATCTCTTATAATTATAAGAGAACGCGTTGATTTTTATAAATTCATTTTATATATATTTGGCTTAATATATAGTTAAGTTATCTCTTATAATTATAAGAGTAATAATAAATAACGTATATATATATATATTTTTTATGACATAAAAAATGAATTTATAAAAATCAATGCGTCGTTGTATCAATTACGAGATTTCTGTAACTTCATTCGAACGTTTCACTCGCGTAGCTCCATCGACAATACGTAGAAGTACAGTAATGTCTCCCTAATTGACGCTAGGATTGTGCACAAAGATGGACAATTTGGGAAGAGGAGATACGATTATTCGAGCCTTTCAGCTCGTTTTTCATAATTGTTGACAATTCGTAACTATAAGCGCAAACCGCAAGCCCCGAATAATCATATCACCTCTTCCCAAATTGTCCATTTTTGTGGACAATCCGAGCGTCGATTAGAGAGACATTACTGTATTTCGGCAATTTTTGACAGAACCATCGATAAGACGCCATTTTAAGCGAACGCATTCGCTGGAAGGTAGACAATCTCCTAAAGACATAGCATTTTCTCAAGCATATGTCTGGCACCGGACGCTCGACCGGGTATCGTTTCCGCGAAATGAATCAGGAAAAGACGATCGTTCGCGACTGTGGTCCCGACGAAGTTCCCCGAGTCTCATCGCCGGAGGGTGATTATCCCGCAATTATACCGGACGCTTCTGTTACGCCGGTTACGATCCCCGCGGTCCCGTTATTCCGCCGCTATTGATTGCCGTCGAGTCAATTAACAATTATGACGAATCGATGTCGGAAAACCAGCGGCATTGTTCGCGCGAACAGCCAGTCGACCATCTTGGCTGGAAGCGGCGGCAAACACCATTAATTTTCCTGCGGCCTGCACGGTTTTCATCCGATCCATCGACCGGGAAATCGAAGCTGGCGAAACGGCGAGGAATGTCTTCTCGCGACCGTAAAACTGCGATCTCGGTGGATCGCCGGTAGCGGCTAAATCGCACGGTTTCCACGCGCGTTCCGCCTTCTAATTCATTATAAACGAATTACCGGCGAGGCAAGATGCCTCGCCGCCCGATAAAAAAGAAACCTCGTGGATGACCGAGCTGGTCCGAAGCCGGAGCTGACCGGTGCCGCGATGGGGCAATCGCGCGCGCCAAACGCGGTAAAAAGTAATTTTATAAAAGTACGCTTGTATTATATATTATTTAATCGAACGAGAAACCTCGACGATGCTTCGGCTATACCCGCATCGTTGTCGGTACAAAGCGCTCGTAATCGACGATTTTTATTTCAGACGATCTTTACGTTGGCTACTTCGAAGCCACGTCGTCCTGCTCGAAAGAGACAAATGGTAATAAAAACACAATACATCGCAGTCCATACGTCTAATTAACTATCGATAAAAATTTCTTTTGCTTTATAGTATGTACCTATTTACCATTTGTACATTTTGAACGGAACTTTGGAATAGCCATTCTGCAAAATCATCTGAGATTAAAATCGTCGTTTATAAATGCTTCGCGACGATGCAAACATAGATGAATCATCGTCGAGTTCCTCGCCGGATTGAATAACATATTATACAATTATAATATATAAAATACAATATATTGTTGTGTTACAATAACGTTAATTAATACATGTACTGACTGTCCCCACCTCAATGGTCGTATATTACTTAAAATGTCAGTATGCCTACTGGATAAATAAAACTTATAACATATATAATTTTTTAAAAAACGAACGCACGAACGACGTTGTTCGCAAAATTGTCGGGATCTCAACAGAGATTACAAGTATTTGAGAAATGAAATGCGCGAGTCGGGTATTTAAAGAGAATCGAGTGAAACAGCAGCATATAAAAATAGTAATTGCACGAGAGTCGCGTAGCGTCGTGAAAGACTAAAAGAGTAAAGGAAATATGTATTTGAACTATATATATATATATACAGGGTGTCCCAGGTTTTAATGTTCAAACTTTGTCAGTGTATTCTATGGCACAAAGTAAGAAAAAAATATTATGTAAACATAGGTCATATATAGCATTATTAATAAGTTGTAATAAAAATTCAGAATAGGAATAGTAATCAACTTGCTGTTACGGTGCGCATTGGCTTGAATAGATCAGCACATGCCGTGTGTTTATGTAAGCTGTGTTTATTAATACATTTCGAAATGTCTACCGTTGTTGACAATACATGATTGACATCGATCGAAGATCGAATTTATGACCGTGCGAATTTCGTTTCTATTCTCTTTCATTTCATTGAACGAATTTTTGTTATAACTTCTTAATAAAGCTCTATATGACCTATGTTTACATAATATTTTTTTCTTACTTTGTGCCATAGAATACACTGACAAAGTTTGAACATTAAAACCTGGGACACCCTGTATATATAAAATACAGAAATAAGTTAGGCGTGCATGATTTCAGACATAAAATCTTTTTTACCGCGTTAGACTTGCATCTGCCTAGTAGTGGCGGAGGTTTAATGAACGTGGATCCGCGATAGCTCGGGTGGTTAGGGGCCACAGCCGTTCGAGACAAGAGGCGAGCGAGATCCATCCGGAGACAATCGCAAAAATTATCCTTATGACGTGTAATGGCTGGAATTCTTTTAAGGTTCTCGCTGGCCGCCGTCCGTTATTCTATCCGGGTCTCTTAAAGGCAAAAGGAATGCCAGTTCCGATCATAGCTCGGCTCTTTGGGGCACCATGAAAGAGGCCCGCTGCCGACAGTTGCGGAATCTGCCCCTTCTGGCCCCTTGCATCCCGCTCCCTCTGCCACGCAGCTCTCTCGACCTTAGAACAGTTTCTCTCCTCCGACCTTCTCCTTCTTCCTCCCGTCCTTCTTCCTCCCCTTTTAGGTCCCGTCGACTCCTCGGGCCCATCGTCCTTCCCGCTCGTTCGCTCGTTTCGCTTCCTCCCTTCTCGTCCTTGTTCCCCCTTTCCTCCGTCCCTTTTCGCCTCTTCTTGCCCCACCCGTCCCCCCGCGGCCCACCTTCTTCACCCCTTGGCCGATCTTCCTCTTCTTCATCGTCGTCGTCCTCGGAGCCCGGTGATCGCGGTCTTCTACTCTCCTCTCGTCATCCACCGCGTCTCGGGGCAACCGTCACTTTTTGCAAACGTCTCTGAACCCTCCTTAATCAAACCGTGCCCACCTCCGCTTTATTCTTTTATACCGGCACCGCGTGTGTCGATCCCTCTCGACGCTCCGCGCCGGGGAAACCTATTCACCGGACGTATACGCTATACACGCACCGCGAGCCGACTTCCGACCGGGGCCCGATCAGGCCCGCAAGGCCCGGGGACCTAAGCGGCGGACGCGTTCAGGCACGCACCGGCCTTCCAACATAGAACCGCTGCCGTTTTTGGCCGAAGCGGAGTGGCCTGCCACTTACGGGAACGAGCTGACCGTGATACGATCCGCGAACGGACTCGACCAGCCGCCCGAAAAATCCGCTCCGACCCGCCGGGTTACCCAGGAATTTCTAGGGGTGACCCGATCGTGGAATCCGCGGCTTTGTTGCCCTACCAAGCGAACTCCTTTTTTTTTTGGACGCTCACTTTTCGAATTCCGTCCGGCAGTTGTACAATCTCGGCCGGGCCGCCGGTGAACAGCTTTCTCCGGGTACCGGAAGCGTTTTCGAGGTTGTTTTCGAATATTCGAATATCGGCAGAAAATTGTTCTTTTTAATTTACTTTGGCTAGATTATTAGCTAGCTCGAATTTTGTATGGATTACATGTTTGTCGCACTCTGGGCCATTATTCAGGGTCGGCTACAGTAATGTCTCCCTTATTGACGCCCAGATTGACCACAAAAATGGACAATTTGGGAACAGAAGATATGATTATTCGAGCCTTGCGGTTTATTTTTATAGTTATGAATTGTCCACAATTATAAAAACGAGCCGCAAGGCTGGAATAATCGTATCTCCTCTTCCCAAATTATCCATTTTAGTGGACTATCCGAGCGTCAGTAAGGGAGACATGACTGTATTGTCCTCGGGTTATGGAAATGAATTTAAAGATCTACATTTCGTGATATCGTTCTTTCAAGACGCTAACTTTTCGAATTCCGTCCGGCAGTTGTACAATTTCGGCCGGGCTGCCGGTGAACAACTTTCTCCGGGTACCGGAAGCGTCTTCGAGGTTGTTTTCGAATATTCGAATATCGGCAGAAAATTGTCCTTTGTAATTTACTTTGGCTAGATTATTATTTAACTAGTTCGAATTTTGTGTCGATTACATGTTTGTGTCGCACTCTGGGTCATTATTTAGGGACGGCTATTGTCCTCGGATTGTGGAAATGCACCTAAAGATCTACATTTTATAATTTTATCGTTCTTTCAAGACGAGAAAGCATTCTTTGTTCGATTAGCTTCGGTTCGATTATTCTATGACAAGCTTAATACGTTTGTTGTGCTCAATTATTTACGGGTGGCTGCTATTGTCTTCACGCAGTGGAAACGTGCCCAAGGATCCGGCGTACAGTAATGTCTCTCTAATTGACGCTCGAATTGTACACAAAAGTGGAGAATTTGGGATTTTGTTCTTATAGTTTCGAATTGTCAACAACTATAAAAAACGAGCTGAAAGGCTCGAATAATCGTACCTCCTCTTCCGAAATTGTCCATCAATCCGAGCGTCAATTAACCTCTTGCCGTACCATCTTCTTCGTGATTAAAACGAGTGTAAAAGCTTTCGATCGTGATCATTCTTTAAAAGACGAAGAAGAAATATATATATATTTCTTCTTATATATATATATATATATTTATTATGTGTATTGTACATCAACTTGAATACTTAAATATTGACGTCAAGAGAAGAATTGTATTAAAAATTAATTAATTAAGAAATAGAATTGTATTCCGATTTAAAAGAATGGAATAACATCCGTACCTAATAGATTAAATATAAAAATCTTCATCGCGAGTCAGACTCGTCAAAATATGGCAAGGGGTTAAGAAGACATTGCTGTATTTAAAACAGAAATTTCTGTGAAATTTTTCCTTTTCAAGCGAGAAGAGAATTCCTCGTTCGATCGGCTTCGGTTAGATTATTTTCTAACGCGTCCGATACGTCCGTTCCGGTGAATTAATTACGGGTAACTACACGGTCTCGAAGCAGCGGACACGAGTGCATCCAAGAATGCGACTTACTCTCTCGATTTTATCGTATTTTTATATTTATACCCGTATATCTTTATCATTGTAATTTGTGATAAACACAGCGACGTTCCCGACGAAACGTGTATTCATCCCTAACGGATCGTCTTTCGCCGAGAGCAAATTACAATCGCGCGAACCTCTCGTTCGAATAAAAGTGGTCGCTTCGATAACGTTGCGCGCGTTTACGCGCAACTAATAAACAGCGTTCGACGAATAACATCGCTTTATGCGAACGAAAGTAGTTCGAATAAAGGCGGACGTTTCCTCGTAGCTATAACGAACCATTTCTATTTTCTCCTGTTCCTATCCAATTCCATAAAATGTAATTGCGGCGAACAAACCTCTCTGTTCGAACCTCTCGCGGTTCGAATAACGGAATCGCTCAGCTGCGATCGCCGAACAACAATTTCCATTGAATAAAATCGCGGCATCTCCGTCGGAACTATTCCTATATTTTTCGCTTGTGCGATACGGTCGAAACGAACGGCATCGCAATAAATCGGCCCGGTTATCCCTGTATTTAATTCCTATAATTGTTGACATAATGACTCGTCGCCGCGGTCGCGGAGAGAATTCTCGGCATTCTGGTCGGCGGGCTGTGGCGCGGGTTCATTGTTCTTTACCATTTCTTTCTGTGTGTTCATACCTGACGAAATGGTAGACAGGGGCCGGTGGCCAGAGGGACGTTTCAAAGAGGTTTTGCTGTCTCGAGAGATCCGCAATTCCGATGACTGGAGACTCCGCGGACCGGTCACCCGTTAGCGTCCGAGAGAATATTTCGCGGGATGATTGAAATGTGTTTACTCGGGAGCGACGTCGAGTACAATTGAAAGGGAACAGGAGCGCCGGACTCGGTCGGTTCCCCAATTGTTTATCTTTGCTCGGCTACCTTCTCCCCAACCCCCCCGCCCCTCCGATCGGGCCCAACCTCCTCGAGGAAGGATGAATTATACCGTCGAGAATCGCGATGCTCATCAACTCGCAAAGTCAGCCATGTTGGCACTTCAACCGGCTCAAAGGGATAATTCCGTTTTTTAATTAACGCCGAACGGAAATGCGGGCCCTGTTCCATAAACCTCCGGCGCGTTTCGAGAATACGAATCCTGCAATTTATGTTTTGATTGTTAATGAGCAGTCTTAGCCGCCATTCCGGGCTTTTATTTTCTGTAATCCGTGATTACGCGCACGTATGTTTGTACAAAGCGTCTTTATCCAAGCGACAAAGGGTTGTAACAAACGAATTATTCTGCGCAGATTCTACAGTATTTTCCGTGAACCCCGCGTTCGCTCGTTTTTTAGACTTGCATAAATATTCTTGTGCCATTGTTAGGAAAAACGCGCCGCATGAAATGCGCCGGTCGTACATTTTACGAAATAGAACTTCGATAATGAAAACCAGAAATTAATTATTGAAGATCGACGCGTGTGACCAACGTGTGGCAGTCGATGTTTTAATAATAACACCGATCGCTAAAAGTGTACTCGACACGACATGATAGACAAAAATAACAAGAGATTAGTTATTTTGATTAATAACAATTAACCCTTTGCACTCGAAGCTGTAAATCTAAATTTTGTAAATCTTCAATTTTAGCTGTAAATCTAAAATAATTTTGCTGACTTATTGTCAGAATTATTGCTTCGTCTAGCAAAGTGCACTTTATGCATATGAAATTGAGTTTTATGCCTCGTATAACAATTACGCTTTTAATTTAGATTTCTTGAATCTAGACTTTGATAGTATGAAAGTTATCTTGGAACGTGATGTAACAATTTTAGCGGCGCCTCAGAGTCGCCGCTCGAGTGCAAAGGGTTAGTTTAAACTTCTCGGTATTTTAATTGTAATATACGCTTCATTTGAGAAATGCATTAAACTATTTCCTATGAAATTTCAAGTATTGTAATTTCGACGATCTTGAAATGCAAAAATATGAAACCGGACATTTTAACGGACACGATAGATTCGATATTAAAGAAGAGATGGTTTTCAAATCAAAACTGAGATTGCACCGAAAATATAAATTGAAATGAACGATAAAAGAACTGCTCGAGATAAAGAAATTGCCTAAATGGCCAATCAATTGCTAAGATCAAACACTGTTTTAAGATCGAATAATTACTTGAAATCAAATACCGCTTAACGCAACACGGTTAGGACTGTTTGCGCGAAAATTGTTGCATCGCTTAGCGAAAATAGATATAACTTATAATAAGATATCAAGCAGCTAAATTATAAGACATTATAAGGTACGTTGCTTCATCGAAGACATAAGATATGCGCCTCTGCGAAGTGGAACATTACAATGTTTTCAGACGTAAGTAGTTCTACATCGTTTATCGCGTTTAACGCGGACGATCGAGAGAATGACTATTTTTAGTGATCCGGCATTCGACGAGCAGTCGAGGAAACGGCTATTTTTAATCATCCGAGCGGTAATGCGTTAAGATTAAATGGTCGCCCCGGACCAAATAATTGCTTAAGACGAAAAATTGCCCGTCGTAGTGCCGGCGAGCCGGCCGGGATTAGTGACAACTGGTTGGAGATTAGTGTTCCGCGGTTTAATAGAAAAGAAACCCGATCTGTTTTACAGGTGACGGACACGAACGACAACGCGCCGACGTTCCAGAGCACCGCGTACTCGTTCGACGTTCCGGAGAACATGCCGAGGGGTAGCAGGATCGGTCAGGTGGTTGCAACCGACGCGGACGCCGACGGTCCCAACAGCCAATTGAGCTACACGCTGATATCCGATTGGGCGAACGACGTTTTCTCCCTGAACCCGAGCACCGGCGTGTTCACGTTGACGGCCAGCCTCGATTACGAGCAGGTAACGTTGACAATTGATGACGGTACACCCCGGACAACCTTATTTAAAAACCGTAACGGGTGCGTGCTCTAGATCGTGCGGGCTTGCTTCCCAAACTTCTTCGGGCCTGTCGACCTCGTTCCACGGACGAATTGAGCCGTTTATTTTGAAAGTGGCATAAGTCACTTTTTCAAAAAAATCGAGTTAACACGTTCCGTGCCACGTGTACCATCGATGGTACACGCTTGCATGTTTACTTAGTGAACTGAACAAATTGTTTACAAGAAATTTAGAACCGAAGAATCAATTTCCACCGCAAGAATGGGCGTTGATAAGTTTTTGTTACGTTGTTATGTGTACGAGAATTAATAATTGCACGTAATACATCAAGTTTTAGTAAAATATCAAAGTGTGAAGATTCGAGTAAAAAAAGCTCGGCACGGAACGTGTTAATGGTAACACTAATTACAATTGAACGGTATCTTTTCATTTAAAAAGAGAAAGAAGTGACTTATGCCACTTTCAAAATAAACGGCTGAATTATTTCGCCCTCTCGTAAAATCTACCGTCGGTAGATACTCGCGAACTGGCGCCGGCCTTCGAAAACGTTCGACACGCTGTTCGAACACGTTCGGAATACAGTAATGTCTCCCTTATCGACGCTTAGATCGCGCACAAAAATCGACAATTTGTGGAAGAGGAGATACGATTAAATTGAGTCTTGCGCCTCGTTTTACAGTTACGAATTATCAACAATTATAAAAACGAGTTTTAACCCTTTGCGCTCGAGTGGTGACTCTGAGGCATCATTAAAATTGTTAGTTCACGTTCCTAGATTATTTTTATATTAACGAAGCTTAAATTTAAAGAATCGTTAAAAGTGTAACTGTCGTCACTTGACTCAAGTCATAAAATACCATACCATAAGTCAGAAAAATTATTTTAGATTTACGGTTAAAATGGCTCCGAGTGCAAAGGGTTAAGGCTCGAATGATCGTATCTCCTCTTCTCAAATTGTCCAATTTCGTGCACAATCTGAGCGTCAATTGGAGAGACGTTACTGTAACGACTCTAAAAATTCACCGAATTCGTTCGATCGACGAAACCGAAACTGGAATATTATTGTGTCGAAATTGCTCATTTTTCTCAATTTCATATTCCATTTTAATGATTTGAAAATTAGCATAAATCAACTCGAACAAGAAAACGAAACATAGATTCCGGTTGTTAAAATGTTAAAATTTAAGAAAACGGCGGGAACTTAGTTGCCAAGCCAATAGTTCGACTCTTTTGTATTCTAAAAATCCTAGTGGCGTTCTGTCGGTTCGATGCATACAGGTAACCCTCCTATAACACGGTGAATAGGTTCCTAGAAAATGCCGTGTCGTGTGAAACCGTGTTATATGCGACCCAGAGCCAGTACAAAAAAGGGGGGGTTACGGTTGGAAAACTTATTAAAGAGAAACATTTTTTTTAGTTCTATATAATACTTCGATTAAAAATATAAATGTATGTAGAACACAAAAAATATTATTTTCATTTAATATAACCCTAATTTAATCAATTTCCTCCTGGTCGCTAGTCAATACAATCAAACGAGAAGGTTTTCTTAAATTTTAATTTTTAATTTTAATTTTGGTTTGTTTGCTGGTTCTTACAAGATCATTGTAGATTTCATGGTATGAAGATAGACAATTTTGCAGCTCCCTTTTGAATTTTCGGCTGCTTTCAGCGGAAGGATATATACTTGTATACCCTTAATTATAATAATTATACTTTCATGTAAAGACACTATAGTTCGTTATTCCTTTCTGTCATTATTTTAAGGTAATTTAGTTTTTGAATATGTTAAACAAAGATCATGTTATCCAGTGCTGTAGAAACACAGTATCGTACAAAGGTTCTCGCAATTTTCTTATCGTGTTAGAGCGAAACAGCATTATAGTTTGCACTGCCATAAGAGGATCTCCGTAATTTATCTTATCGTATTAGAGCGGAACCATGTTATAGGAGGACTACCTGTATATTACAATAAAAAATGAATCTCGAAACCTAGCTAAAATTTAATGTCGCTCAGCGTGGTAAGCAATCTTTTTCTGTTATTTCGCAATCATTTTCGACGAATAAGAAACGACTGGATTCGTTTTCGATGGAGTTTGTTGCACAGGTCTTTCGGAACGTCACGGCGCGCTTCGAAAATCTGTTGCCCCCGTTCGATTGTTAATACCTTATTTGCGGCGACGTTGAGAAACATCGTCGGTGATCATGACTAAATAAACATTTTCGAGTTGCACGATTATTGGCAGTTACAATGAATAGCTAGCTAAGCTGCTGGAAATAATTAGACCGACGATGCTGCTCGGCCGATGATGGTAGCTAAATTTACCGTAACGTAGGGGTTAAATTAATTATGATGGGTTTCGCAGGAGTCGAACGTTCTTCGTTCGAAACCTCCGAGGATTTTCGTGCTCCAGTCGACGGAAGATAGAATCATGATGCGCGTACATTACCAGCCGAAAGTTTCGAATCTCTTCGGTTCACGAATACGCCTACACCTTTCGTTTGAAAAAAATCCAACGATGACTTGTCGAAATACGATCGAGCTGCTTAGAACTCCGCGGACTTTTCATCTTCCGATCGTGGTTAGATCTTTTTTTATCGTGCTCTTTTCGATCCCGGAACAGTTCGATTTATTTCTCACGACCGATTCCCAAGACTGTTGCAACGGTACAAGCATCGAGAAGGATTACCAGAAGAAAGTCAGAGGACGAAATATCGGATATCTGCAAACGATACGAAACTTTTGACCGGTACTGTATGTATATACGGTAAAACGCGTAGCTGCCCGGGGGCAACAAATCTCTAACCACGGAACACGCCTCTGCGTTCAGGTTCGAGCGTACCTATTATATTAGCTCTCGACTAGAAGGCAACGCTAGAATTTAGGGTTTAACACTAACAGAGTCCGACAGATCGATCGACGTACGCTTTTAATGGCAGCTCGCCGTCTATGAGTATTCGCCTTCCTAGACTAGCCAAAGGCTGGGCAACACAGGGACGCGACGAAATAATTGCTTTCGAAACGTTGCTCTCGCTGACTGCGTACTTGCGAATGATACCAGATACACATTCGGTATCCATAACGCACCTAATAAATAACAACGAGTCCCTCTTCGTGTCAATGATGAATAAAAGTACAGTAGGATCACCATTGTACAGTAAATTGTACAGAGAATTCTCCCTAATTGATCCTCAGCTTGTACACAAAATCAATTCAATTTGGGGAGAGGAGGTACGATTGTTCGAGTCTTGCGGTTCGTTTTTATAGTTGTTGACAATCGGCAATTATACGATTGTAACTTCTCTTCCCATTTTTGTGTACGATCTGAGAGTCGATTAGGGAGAATTTACTGTATTTGGTACTTGATGTCCCAAAAATGTCTCGCAATCCGAAAATGGGAGGTTCCTGAGGACATTTGAAGCAACTTTTTCCTTAGCGAAAATGCAATCCGCGGTTTCGTGTACAAGTTATTAACGAAAAACAGCGACCAATGAGAGGAGAGCTCGCCTCTCGGCGGTCGAGCCAACGGCGCCAGCGGTCGAGCGGTCGAATCCCAGTTCCGCTAATTGGCTCGGCCGCCTCGCGCCAGCGAATCTCGCCGCTCGTTGGTCGCCGTTTTTGATCAATAACTCGTAAACGAAGCCGCAGTTTGCATTTTCGCTAAGGGAAAAGTTACTTGAAATCACCTCAGGAACCGCTCATTTCTCGCTTGTACAATAATTTCGGGACACCCTGTATACTGCTTCTCGAGAACGGACTGCAATCGGACCCCTCTGTCGAGCATCCGAAGGGAAGTCCCCACCGGAAATTCCAAAAATGTTCGACGAAGAATCCATCATCGTGCTTCGAAGCGACGACGGGACTCGTTCTTTAAAAGCGAAACGAGCGAGATAAGAAGGCACTTACCTCGTTGCAGGTGCAGCACTACATTCTGGTGGTCCAGGCGACGGACGCCGGCATCCCGGCGCTGTCCTCGACCGTGACCGTTTACTGCAACGTGGTCGACCTGAACGACAACGCGCCGATCTTCGAGGCCGCCCCGAATGCCGTTGACATCGTCGAGAATACCACGATCGGGACCGCCGTGTTATCAGTGGCGGCCCAGGACCTCGACTCGGGAGATAACGGCCGAGTAATTTACGCTGTCGCCGGCGGTGACGAGAACGGCGACTTCGGCGTCGCCGCCAACGGCACCCTATTCACGAGGAAGCTGCTCGACAGGGAACGGAAGCCTTTGTACAATTTGGTGGTCAGTGCCACCGACAGTCCCCTGCCACCTGCCCGGCCACTGTCCTCCACCGTTCAGGTTCGTTTCTGCTGAAAAAGATCAACGATTTTACTATACGTTCGCCGGGTAGTTCGAAGTCGAAGGGACTTCTTATTCGATGCTTTATTCGGGCAACCGCTGATCGATTGCTTGAACAGAAAATGACAGAGACTGACGACGATGATCAACCTCTTCGAGGATGGATTGATATTTTTGGGAAATATTAGCTTGTGACTATTTTTACCGAGCTAGGGACTAGCGTCTTCACAGAGAGATACTCTTTCGGTGCTTATCTTGGTGAAGTCGTTTGTTCAGCGTCGTTTCTATCAGTTCTTAAAAGGCTTCGCTTTTTCTCTATTTTTAACATGAAGATCTCTCTTTTGCATCTATTGATAGTCTCTGTCTTACTCTATCGTTCGATGTACAGTAAATTCTCCCTAATTGATGGTCAGCAAAACAAAAATAGGTAATATGGAAAGAGGAAAATGGAATAATATCTCCTTTTCCCAAATTGTCATTTTTGTTTACAAGCTGAAGGAAAATTAGGGAGAATTTACTGTACTCTTTCGATGCTTATCTTGGTGAAATCGTTTATTCACCGTCGTCTCTATCAATTCTTAAAAGGCTTCTCTTTTTCTCTATTTCTGAAATTAAGATCTTCTGCATCTATTGACAGTCTCAACCTTACTCTATCGTTCGATGTATAGTAAATTCTCCCTAACTGATGGTCTGCAAAACAAAAATGGACAATGTAGGAAGAAGAGAATGGAATATGGGAATAATCGTATCTCCTTTTCCCAAATTGCCATTTTTGTTTATAAGCTGAAGAAAAATTAGGGAGAATGTACTCTTACGATGCTTATTTTGATGACATCGTTTATTCATCGTCATTCCTATCAATTCTTAAAAGGCTTCGCTCTTTCTCTATTTTAAAAATGAAGATCTGCATCTATTGACAGCCTCTGTTTTACTCTATCGTTAGATGTACAGTAAATTATCCCTAATTGGCACTCAGCAAAACAAAAATGGACAATGTGGGAAGAGGAGAATGGAATATGGGAATAATCGTATATCCTTTTCCCAAATTGCTATTTTTGTTTACAAACTAAAAGAAAATTAGGGGAATGTACTCTTTCGATGCTTATCTTGGTGACATCGTTTGTTCATCGTCATTCCTGTCAATTCTTAAAAGGCTTCGCTTTACCTCTATTTTTAAAATGAAGATCTTCTGAATTTCACAGTCTATGTGTTACTCTATTGTTCGATGCATTTATGAATAAAAGTACCCAATGCGAAGTTCTCGCTATCGATGCAAGGGTTATTAATTATTATTTTCTGCCTACCACAAGGGATCCTTAAATCGATGCAAAAGAACGTATTAAATTTTTACGAAAATAATGCATCAGAATTAGAAATTTATCTAAAAATCCGCAGTCTATTTATCGCTTGCAGAACTAAAAAGGCAAATGTACGAAACTGTGGGGTTAATAGGTGACAGTGGTGCTGCTCGACGTGAACGACATGTCGCCGGAGTTCATATCGCCGACGAGGATTTCGATAATAGAGAACGCGCCGAGCAACACGGTGGTGATGGCCATTAAAGCAGTGGACAGGGACGAAGGACGGAACGGGTACGTCGAGTACTCCCTGGAGGACACGTCGCTCCCGTTCACCGTGGGCCCCGTTGATGGACTGTTGCGTGTATCTGGTTCACTGGATCGCGAATTAAGGTCAAACTACAGCCTGGACGTAACCGCGAGAGACCGCGGTGAACCAGCGAGAGCGTCCTCGACGACAGTCACTGTCACGGTCCTCGACGAGAACGACAACTCCCCGGTTTTCGACCCCACACAGTACTCCGCCACCGTCGCCGAAAACGCCAGCATCGGCGCCAGCGTCCTTCAGGTTTGTTCCTCTTTATTCCGATCCGTGGATCCTTCTGTTTTTCTTTCGAAAAAGTCTACTCGCGGTTGCTTTGGAGAAGCGTTATCGATTATAAATCAATTTTATTAAATAAATCTGTTAAATTTATTAGTTATATTAAATCAATTAAATTATATTAAATAATAATTATATTAAATTATACTTAATCAATTAAATTCTATTCCATTTTTATTCTCAGATTCTTCTATTTTTATTAGAAAGTCTGCACATGGCTCCCTCCACAAGATTAATCGATTCTAAGGCAATTTTATATTGCATTCCTAAGAATTCAATTTAATATGACTAAACTAAATCTGCTTCATTTCGATCCGTCGATCCTCTTATTCATTTTTATGAAAAAATCTAATACCATAATTTCTTTAAAAGAATAATTAATTAATGATACATCATTATAATGATAATAATTATAATAATTATTTATTATATAATAATAATAATAATTAATTTAATGATACAATTGAACTAGCAGTCCTCCATTTTGGTGTACGAGTTACTATCGCATCAGGGAAACGACCTAATCGTACATTTCAAGTTTCATAGACTGTCAGCAAAATTGATTTTGTTAACTAGAAAGCAAGACTATGAAAACCAAATGCTGTCGCAAGTTACGAGTACAATTTCGAAAATACGTAAATCGATCGAGTTCGATCACCCACGCGCGTCAATTAGTACAAAGCATGGACGAGCGATTAAACAACTCGGCCAGCTCCCAAAATACGAGAGCCGGGCTGGTGTTAATTGATCTGTTTGAATAGCATCGAGCAATGTTTAACGTTGACCACAGCAGGGTCCCGCGAGCGCCGTAGGTGCGAATCAGGCTTAACCTTCCGTCCTGGGCAGCCTCGACGACCTGAAACGCGTCTTAATGATTTACTACCTCGCGGAGGTGTGAATTACGCGTATCACTCGCCTAAAGGAAAAGGTTAATCGAGGAGGGATCGGGTGGCAGGGAATTAACCCTCGGAAAGCGACGCGCCTGTGTGAAACTATTTTTAACGTTCTCCCATAAACTAATGTATACAATTACAACCCAACCATTATACATTGGCTACATTAAATTAATGATCTGAACCGGGACCTTGGAATTAAGTTGCTGACGAAGGATAACTTCTCCGTTGACGTTCAGAGTGGTAATTGCTTCGGAAGGAAACTGGACCACGAACTTTGACAAGGTTAAATTGTGACCGAACTTCGAAACTGAATCTAATTTACGAATCTAAAGATTGAATTCCATTGCTGATATTGCAAATATTTGTTTTCCGCAAGTGTAAAAGTTTGTTCTCGTCTTCAAGTCGAAATCAAATTCTATTCCTTTGCTATCGGTATTCGCGCATTAACCCCTTGGACTACGATTCCGTGACACGACCCCTTGATGTACAAATAAAACGGAATTTGTAAGGTCGCCGGCGATCGAACTTCGAAACTGAATCTAATTCACGAATGTAAAGATTGAATTCCATTGCTGACATTGCAAATATTTGTTTTCCGCAAATGTAAAAGTTTGTTCTCGCCTTTAAGTCGAAATCAAATTCTGTTCCTTTGCTATCAGTATTCGCGCATTAACCCCTTGGACTACGATTCCGTGACACGACCCCTTCACGTACGAATAAAACGGAATTTGATATGACCGAGAAATACTATATTATTTTGAAAGTTAGATTACCGATTCGTAGACGCAACTTCGTTGTTGGCGCTGTCGAGAGGGTGGGAGGGTGGAGCATTGCGAACATTTTGTAAACAAAGCAGAATCGACGCACGAGTGAAGCAACTTTGTAATCTAATAATATGCTGCCCGGCGTACGCGAAAACAGTTCTTGGCGAGTTAGACTCGTCTACATTGACTCGTCAATGAATTATGACCCCAACTCGTCACTGTAATGTCGAGGAATTAATAACTTCCCTGATAGAACGAGGCAATTTTTGTTTATCGCATGTCATCGTTCACTTTCGTTCAGAGATTTTAATAATCAGAAGAATCAAATGTTTCGATTCGGTCAAAATAAATTGCATTCGTGTTTAACCCCTAGGCCACTGTGAGCACCTATAGGCGCTTCGGAATTTTGCGTTTGTGACACTCGGCGCCTGATACGGAAGGCGCCTAGAAAATGTTATCGATATTTATGTATTCCGATAGATCTTATCTCAGTTAGACGAGAAAAAAAGTTTCACATTAATATTAAATTTGTAACATTTACAGTAATTCGGTTCAGAGAAATAAATAATATTGTTTTAACTCCTTACACTACGCCGAAACTCTGAAAAAGCTGTGCCAATTGAAACGCGACACCTTAGTGATATAACATTAATTAATATTATAAAATAATTATAATATATAAAATATATATAATTATAATACATAAAATAATTAAATATTCTAGTCAAAAACTCGTGATATTCATGTTTGGCACGGAATTGTAGCAACGAGTCAAACTCGTGATATGCAATTTTGCCACAGAATTTTCATCACTCGTGAAAGTAGTGCAAGGGGTTAATGTAGTGAAATTCAGTTTTTCGATTATCGAAATATGTTTTCACAAAAATGCATCCCTGTCCAAAAGTTCGCCGTTCTCGGCGTGCATCGTAACTCAATTTCCGCCGTATGGTACGACCGACGCGTTTCAAAGTCTGCCGTAGACAAGGGGTTAATAGATCACGTGATGGAATCTACGTCGCGAGTCTGACTAGTTGTTGCGGCGCAAAGGGTTGAACGGTGTTCCGAAAAATTCGCGAACGTCCGACGTTTCACCTCGGAGGATAAACGCGATCTGGTTGTCTGGTGACAGGTGTCAGCGATGGATAGGGACGAGGGTGCGAACGGCAGGGTGAGGTACAGCATCGCTATGGGGGACGACAACCGAGACTTCACCGTGTCGGAAGACGGCGGTGTGATCCGGGTGGCGAAGAATCTGAACTTCGAGCGAAAGTCGAGGTACGATTTGACGATTCGAGGAGAGGATTGCGCGTCGGAGGTCGGCGAAACGCCCAGAGGGGACACTGCCCAGGTTACCATCACCGTCCTCGACATAAACGACAACGCTCCTGTCTTCCTGGACTCGCCTTACCTGGCCCACGTCATGGAGAATATGGTTCCGCCTGGCGGAGGATTCGTGATACAGGTATGAAAAATCTTTCCGACCCTTGCGGATCGTGACCCCCAGAGGATCGCGAAGCTCTTACATCTAGACGATAGACCAAGATGATACGAGTTGTTCGGGTTCTTCGAAAAACCGTAGAGAACGAACGAGACGACCCCCAGAAAAAAGAGATCATAGGAGATAAGACGGTTTTTCTAGTTAGTCGAAGGATTTCCACCACGACGAAGGCTTCACCCTTTAACCGTTGTGTTGCAGGTGAAAGCTTACGACGCAGACACTCCACCTTACAACGACCAGGTCAGGTACTTCTTGAAGGAGGGTGACACCGACTTGTTTCGGATCAATGCCAGCACCGGGGACATCTTTCTGTTGAGGCCTTTGGACAGAGAATTGGTGCAGGAGTATACTCTCACCCTGGTTGCCATGGACACTGGTAAGTGAAAACATTCGTTTCGGTGATATCAACCCCTTGCACTCGAAGCCATTTTAACTGTGAATCTAAGATAATTTTTCTGACTTATATAGTATTCCCATTTTATATGACAAAATGTGTGTGCATTTTATGCGTATGAAATTGAGTCTTGTGACTCATGCAACAGGTAACACTTTTAACGATTTTTGAAATCATCAACCCTTTCATAGGCACTGGGAATTAATCCTTCGCACTCGAAGCCACTTTAACTATAAATCTAAATTAACTTTTCTGTCTTATAGTATTTCCATTTCATAAAACAAAGCGCATTTCACGCGTATGAAATCGAGTCTTGTGACACACACGACAGTTAGACTTTTAACAATCTTTTTATATCTAAGCTTTGATAATATAAAAATTATCTTGGAACGTGACGTAACAATTTTAGCGATGTCTCAGAGTCACCGCTCGAGTGCAAAGGGTTAAATTCTGTCAGTTATGTCTCCTTAACTGACGCTCAGATTGTGCACAATTAAATGGACAATTTGGGAACAGGAGATACGATTATTCGAGCTCTGCAACTCGTTTTTAAGATTTCTGACGTGGGCGACGCTAATTTTTTATTAATTTTCAAAATTCTTAAGATATTTGAAATGCGACGCAGTTAAAATAAAATCTACTCAGTTTTACCGTCAATGTTGCCATCTATTTTCGGTTTCATCCTTTAACCAGTTAGCTGACGAGTATACTCGTCACGAAGAAATGCCAATATTTCGTGTTATAACGAGTATACTCGTCACGCGTAAAAAATATTGTTAATAATAATAATAATAATAATAATAATAATAATAATAATATAATAGTACCTCTTGGATATTCCATTTCTAAGCCTCAAAAGTAATAAAAAATTAAATTACTCAAAAAAACGATTAGCATAGTTTCGTAGAACAGAAAGAGCTCTATCGAATGAATATTATACACTTTGTCGAACAGCAAAAAATCGTTGTAAAATAAAAGAAAATATAAAAACGCTACGAACTTATTCCTCAACCTAATAGTTATTATTTATTATTTGAATTCCAATTTTAACGAAATCTAAAATATATTCGTGCCTTTTAAAACATTCTGAATATTTTGAGGGCAAGACAACGCGAAACGGACAAATAAAAATACTACGAACAAAGCATCATAATTTGCTAGATCGCATACATTTCGCGACACATTTTATGTACATAGTTTTCAAGGTGGTCGCAACAGCTAACCCGGTTGAACGGCTTCGATATCGTGAGAATTTGTTCGGCTTGATTTTCGGCGGTTAACGCGTTAAAGTATTTGGATGATTAGCAATATATTACGGCGGCGAAACGGTCTGAAATCCTTCTGCTCACTTGGCAAGAGGCAAAGGACAAATGAGCCGCGTAGAGAGAAACCCGATGGGGCTGCGCTCGAACGGTTTAACAGGTGTATACCTGGTGCGATCCGCACAATGGCCGGCATTGAAAGGGTTAGTCGGGTGGTCTACCAACCGAGAATATTTTTCCGGCCGCCCCTCGATGACCGGTCTTGGCCTCTGTGTAAACTGGTTGCGAATTAGTGCGGACAAAGGACTTAATTATGTCGGGGTTCGGCACTTCGGCTAAAAAACCCGTAGGAAAGACGAGAGACGAAGGACGCTCTCTCGCCGGATAAAAACCGATTCTAGCGCGACCGAACGACGCGTCATGACCTCTTTAAAGACTAAATCAGGTCCACGGCTACCACGGACTAATTTATACGACGCACGGAATAATTACCGAGCCCGGCCGGCTCGACGGATACCTGAGATTCTTCAAAAATGCGTCACACGATCGGTTCGGACAGGTCCGGTGTTCACCGGTGACGACCGATCGCTCCCAGCGGTTCGTCCATCTTGGCAATTGTGAACATTAGAATAAAAACCTATCACCGGTTTCTTATTTTACGATTCTACAAACTTTAAGTCTTCGGCTGCCACGTCAACAACCGCGAAGATCTCGTCGAATATAAGTATCTGATTTAATTCAATGAGAAGCGAAAAGTTTAAGTTGTTCTCACGTTTTGCGGATCCTAATTAAGTTAGCAAGATATGATAGATTATCGTGAATATTAATTTTCAATATAATTTCGATAGAATATCGGGCGACGCGGCGGTAAAATGATGGTAGAATCGTGTCTCTAGAACATCATCGAATAATTTTTATTGCCACGCGTGACCTTAATATTTCCGAGCGAAGGAAAGTTAACGAAAGAAACCTAGTTATGCCAAAACATAATAATAAATAACACATTATAATTTCTCCTTGTATTTTATCTATACGATAATAAGGTTATGTTAATGTTATAAAATTAATGATGGTAGTCAAATTATAACGTTATTTTCGCTAAGAGAAAAGCTAAAGAAAAATGTTCAAAGAACGAAGAGTTCCTTAAGCACGCGTTAATACCAGAATTTCCGCAAGGAGAATTCGCCTTCCGAGAGGCTGCACAGCGATCGCAGCGCTAAAATCTTTGGCGTATTCGACGGAATACTTTCCGCCGTAGGTCGCAGCACCCGCCACGGATCCCGAAAAATATAAATCAGCCGAAGCGGACGGTTCGCGTGTGAACCTTTAACGTCCTCCTCGTCGTTCGCGTCACTTTCGCACCTCTCGGCCTCTCGCCGATGGATCCCTGGTCGTTCGTCGAGGGCCTGCCGGTGTCGCGGGGTGGGCATCAAAGTGTCACCCCCCGCGAAATAGAAAGAATAGACGCAGGATATATGGGATGGGTTTAAGTAATGAGCGGTAATATACAAATTGGATATAAATTTGTGGGTTGTTCGATGAGATTCTTTAAGCGGTGGGCAGTTCCTCGTCGAAATCTTTTTATCGTTCGTTCCACCCTCCCACCCCTTGCGCCGGAGCCGGTAGTCCCCTGCGAGAGAGGGTGCCCCCTCGGCGCGCCGCGCCGGTCCCGCTCGGGGGGCCCTCGATGGCCCAATCGGTCCCCGCCGAGGTAGACAAGCCCGCAGAGTTATGACGCGCGATTATGATAATCGCTCTCAAATGCCTTCCTCTGGCTGGACGCTGGACGCTGCACTCTCTTTCTCCCCACCCCCCGGCTTTTCTCTTCGTCTCCCTTTCGGGCCGCTCCTCTCTCCCCCGCCCCTCCCCGCCCTAAGCCCCTCGTGCCTCGCTTTCTTCCCTCGCCTTATCCTTCTCCTCCTCCGCCGCCCTCTCGGCCACCCTCTGGCCCCCTTCACGGCCAGCTTTCGCTTCTTGGACGTTTTGGAGTCGCCGGGGCCCCGGTCTCTTTCCCCAGAGAGATCCTCTGTGCCCCCGCTCGCTCCCTCGCCTTATTCGCTCGCTCGCTCGCTTGCTCGGCCTGCTCGCTTGCTCGCTTGCTCGGACCCCGCGCATTATATTCCTATTTTATTCATACGTAATGGCTGTCGCGTATGCGCGCCGGCTATCGCGTGTTCGCCATCCGAAAACCAGTGTCCCTACCAGGCGCTAACTAAGGGCCCGGCTTTTGTTGCAGTCGAACGCAACAGCGCCGCTCCGGGAAACAATCGTTGAAATTCAATTTTTCTGCGTTCGCGGTCGAACGAATTGCGTCCGCGGTCGAACGAATTTCGCTCGATATTTGACGACTCCTTGGAACTTCGGAATCCATTAAGAGATAAATCGATTGTTATCGATTCTTATTAACACACTTGGCATGCGGGCAACGTATTTTTACGTTTCTTGCAGTCTGTCACTGGAGCGCGGGTCACGTAAAAATACGTATATTTTATACGTAATATTTTGGAATACATTGTAAAATTTTAAAAATCGTTTATTTTTGTGATTTCGCAAAAATATCGTTTGTTTTGTTAAATAATCATACAGTATATATTTAAGTGCAAAATAAAAAAAGTTTCGTTCATAAAAACGAAGCAGTTTTCGATTTACTGAGATTTTTCGGAATAACCAAACTTCTGCGCGATTCACGAAAAAACGCTCGCTGCACGCGTAAGTTGGCGGCGAAGTATACCCGCGTGCCAAGTGTTAATTGCAATCGGCCGAAGACAATACGACAGTGATCACGAGGTTTTCAAATATTTGCATATGGAGCAAATATTTCAAAGAAATATTTCAACACTTAGCCAACCGAACGGGGAGATCTCCCCGCTTTAAATTCAGTCGGTCGACGACCGAATGGATGATTAATGGAAAATTAAAAATGATCGCTTAATTTTATTAAGATTTGCAAGAGGTACGAATGCTGAAGAAGCAATCGATGCCATACAAGTTTGCTTCATAATTTTTGTTTAATCGAATGAAATATTTTAATTTTATGAAAATTGTTGAGCTTTCTAGCGCGGTCGTGGAAGTGTTAATAGCTAATAGATTTCGAAGAAAATTATCGTTGAACCGCGGATCTCTGTACAAAATAAAACTTTGAAGGAACGAAAGTCGAACAGAGATTTTCCTTCTTTCTCGTAATAATTTTAATAGCTCGATGTGTCCTGGCGGCTGTATCTTTAAACCCTTCCGAGGTTTTTAGTATTGTGCGCCTTTCTTCTATTCTCGTTCGCCATAAATGCATAAAATCCGCGATCCAATGATCATAACCGTTCAAAACTGCTTCGGACACTTTATTTGCGCGGAGGAAGGACACCAAATATGGAAGTCCATTTTGCTTTCTGTGTACGCCATTCTCTTGTCAGTCGCGTGTGCTTCAGTTTAGAACAGTTTGAAATTTCTAGTATTGTAAACAATTGTTAATACCAACGTGATATTAAAGGATGGTAAATCGCGCCGTATATAGGATTGATCGCCAAATATGGTACACCGGTAATAGGTGCATTATTTCCAGAAAAAAGACAAATAAACGATACGTTGTTCTCTTTTATTTATCGCAGCCGTTTGGCCGCAGCTCTTGCATTCGGTGCATCGGTAAATAAAAATTTAATGCACGAAGTAATTATTTTCGCGAAGTAGAAATGAAAACATTTCTCTTCGCATTAATTGAAATTCTTTGGCAAAGCAACGTCGAATAAATTCGTAACCGTTTCGCCGATATTAATTCGCTCGATACTCGCAGACAGCAGGATGCCGTATCCGCGAGGATTATGCCATATTGACCGACTTTCCTTGGATATTTAAAAATGAAAAGTGCAAGTTGCGCGATACGAATTAGGCGTCTGATGTTCGAGTTAAACCGACGGCGGACATCTTGACATTCGCGAACGAGAATCGCGGAGAGTCGTGTGTTCCCGTAGGAATTCCTTTTTTTTCTTCTTTCAAGCACGATTATGGGCCACGGTCCGCAATTATTTATTCGAGTTCATTTCCTAATTATTGCTTCGCCGACGAAATAAACGCACGAGACGCCGGTCGTTTTCACCGTTCAACGATTATTGTTGCTCGTACGAACTCGAAAGAAACCGGAAGGAAGATCGGTGCTCGAATCGTGTTAACGGTTTATTAGAAGAAATAGAAAATTACCCGATACTTGATACTCTTGAAGGCGGATTAACAGTCCGACAACGAAGTCCGATGGCTGATTAATTAATTTTATTATGTTTAATGATATCGGGTACCGTACGGGAGTTACATTCAACGCATAAGCAATAAAATTTATCATAGATCGGAAATGGCCCGTTTCCGCTTTTTTTCTGGGCTGGCCCGAGTCCCGCTATCCGCCAATTAATAAACATTGCAATCGAAGGCTCTCCGCCGCAAAAACCAGTTAAGTCCAGATTTTAAGAATTGCCGGATTTTTGTCGCCGCGCGTTCAACGATCTATTAAAAAGACATTATTGCGCCGAGGTTTTTACGCTCCTGGATCTTCGACTGCCGCATTTCTCTATTCTCTTATTTTGTTTACTTTTAAACAAATCTTAACATTATGCCGTCCGCAGATCTTAGATGTGATTCTTTTGTTTGACGCCGGCATAATAGCTTGGAAATTTTAGATTTTAAAGAAAATTTCAAAGATGGCGATATAATATAAATTCCTAAAATTAAGATAAGTCATCCAAGAATTTTCGTATTTAATTCTTAGTTAAATAAGCACAATGCTATAGTTAATTTGCTGCCTCTTAACACCCAAGAAATATAGTTCAAATGTTATTTCAGTTTTTTAAAATGCCACCAAAGTGGTATCATCGGCATACAACAGATAGTTTTTGCATGGCACCAGCGCGGTGCCACCGGACGGCATAGCGTTAACATGTCTTATTCGATAAGGTTTATCCTTTTGTTTATTTTTCAATTAAAAAAAGAAATGTAACGTCTTATCTCGTAATGTAATCTTCCTCGATAAATATAAAGTTAATTACGTTCGAAAACATATCAAGCCACCCTGTTCGATCCACCCGCACGCATCCTTGTTTTTACAATTTAACGCTCCGCGATCATTTCGGCGACGATGCGCCCTGTTCGATTCTATCGGGGATTATGGTTGGGAAGAGATCGATAACTCTTAAACTAATCAGAGCAGGTGAACCTCTGCTATGCGAACCGTCTTTTTCTCTGAGGTTCCGCGATCGAGAAGAACAGTTTAGTTCGCCGGCGATCGACAGAATCGCAAGAAGATATTTCGGCTGTTCCCGGCGGATGCTACCGCCTTGTCTCCGAAGTTAGTTTTCCGCGGATCGATCGAGAAGAACAGTTTAGTTCTATCGGCGATCGACAGAATCGCGAGAAGACATTTCGGCTATTTCCAGCAGATGCTTTCGCCTTGTCTCCGAGGTTAAATCTCCGCGGATCGATGGAGAACAGTTTAGTTCTATCGGCGATCGACAGAATCGCGAGGAGATATTTCGGCTATTTCCAGCAGACGCTATCGCCTTATCGTCGAGGTTAAATCTCCGCGGATCGATGGAGAAGAACAGTTTAGTTCTATCAGCGATCGACAGAATCGCGAAAAGATACAGTAATGTCTCCCTAATCGTCGCCCAAATTGTGCACTATAATTTGGGAAGAGGAGGCGCGATTATTCGAGCCTTGCGACTCGTCTTTTATAATTACCGATTGCCAATAACTATAAAAACGAGCCGCAACTCAAATAATCGTATCCCCTCTTCCAAAATTGTCAAATTTTCCTGCACAATCCGAGCGTCAGTTAGGGAGACATTACTGTATTTCGGCAGGATACTCGATTCGAGCAACGCCAAAGCGGGCCAAACTGGAGAAACGAATACCCGGCGCGCCCGGCGGGGTCGTGAATACCTTCCCCGGTGCCTGATAATAATAAAATGAAACGAAAGGGGGAGGGTGGAGTCGTTGGCTCTTGTCCCCGTTGATTAAGCAGACGAATAAGGAGAATACTTTGGCTAGCGCGAGTCCGGTATATTTCTTAGGGATTGCCCACCGGGGAACGCCGTCTATGGTGGACCACACCATTGTGCCGCGCGATTGTTGTGCCCGTGCCCTCCCCGTGAGAGGTCCGCGTGATTGAACGATATACGCTTATAGGAGGCGCGTGGCCCTGGGCCACGGCAACGCGGGTACAATGTACCTGCTGCAATCAGAGAAATCGGGTCCCACCGGAGAATAATGGCCTGTTTTAGGCGGCGCAATTAACTCGACGGTACCGGGGGCCGGCTGATACTTCGTGAAATCGTTAATTTGTCTTCTTTAAGACGTTAGACCCCGATCGGATCGGCGGACCGACGCCAGCCACCAGGCATCTTTCCATCGGACCCGTTCCGATTCGCGCGGAACGATACAGAACCTGTACACACACCCCGATGAAAATTATGCCGCTGCGACCCGTTCCAATTAACCCGCGCGCATCCTCGTTTTTACAATTTAACGCTCCGCGATCGTTTCCGCGACGGTGCGACCTGTCCGATTCTATCGGGGATTATGGGATGAGATCGATAATTCGTGAACTAATCCGTTTTCACCGTCACCCTGTATCTGTACGATACAGAATTCTTTGCTCGATTTTGCGGATCAACGATGAGATAAATAAAATACGCAAAGTAAGGTCAATTTTAGGGAATTTTTTTGAGGTGGTGGTGTGGCAGTCGAAGCGTTGAAGAGCATGCGAAGATCCGTTAAATTGATTGCAAAAATATAGAAGTTTATTTTAAATAGTGATCTTAATTTGTTTACTAAATACAGAATGAAATTGCAGTGAAAAGATTGATAATTATGGTGCGTCTATGGCGAGCCTTATATTACCACAAAGTTAGCGATTAATTTGTTTGGAAGATCGTTTAGTAACTGATAAAGAGGAAACTTTTTATTTTATATTATTTCGTCGAATACAATCAATTATTATATATCGAATAATACAATGTTATCCGTCTCCAGTTTCTTGCAATTGACGCAAACAATGTTTACATTGCCTAAAGACCCGCGATCTAATTGCCGCGCCATTCGCGCCGAGTGTTTCTAAATATGTAATCGCAATTATCGAACGTGAATACCTCGTAAACAACGATCGGAATTACGACTGGATTCTCGCTGAAACATCGATCGTTCCAGTAGAAAATCGCGAACCTCTATTAACCGTATCTCATCCGGGCCTCGGCAACACCGGCAACGACGAAACGTCGAATAATATCCCGCGGTTTAATTCATCGGCAGTGTAAATACAAGAATTTAATGCAAAGCAAGTTCCACTTCTTGCCCGCGATGTTGCAAATAAGCATATGCACCGAGAGCGCATACCTATCCGGTCGCCGGGACACCGGGGAAAAAATATTAATCCGCCTTGTATACGCATATATATGTAGAAATAATAGGTAAAAAAGATAATACACTAATCGTAAATTATCGCGCGGTGTCAAGGGTCCCCAATATCCCTGCGCATCAATTATTGGAGTATGTTTATATAATCATAGACCGATCGATCTACGATTACCGAACCTGTTCCGCAGGTTCTCCGCCGCTGACTGGATCAGGCATCGTCCGGATCGTCGTGCTCGACGTAAATGATCACAGCCCGGAGTTCACCAGGCAGGAGTACAAGGCGACGGTCACCGAGAACTCAGCTTCCGGGACCTGGGTCACTAAACCACACGCTACCGACAAGGACGAGGGCCTCAACGCCAAGATCAGGTGATTTCGAAGGGCATAGTCCCTCTGGACGCACACGTTAGATACGAGAGATCTGCCGGATACATTGATCCTTCGACTTGGAAGCTTACTTTCCGATAGATAGACGCCAGATACGATGGTCCGCTAGATGCGAAGGATCTCTTGTAAGGATCTGTTAAAGGATCCGAGTGCAGTAAATTATATCCCTAATTTTTCTTCAGCTTGGGAAAAGTAGATTACCTCGCACCTCGTTTTGATAATTGTTGACCAATCCCCAAATTGTGCATTTTTGTCTACAAGCTGAAGGAAAATTGGGGAGAACTTGCTGTATAAAGAACCTGCTTCGCAGATACAGGGTGCCTCAAAAGAATTGTGCAAGCGGGAGACGAAAGGGTTCCTGAGGTGATTTGAAGTAACTTTTTCCTTAGCGAAAATGCAATCCGCGGCGTAGTTTACGAGTTATTAACGAAAAACAGTGACCAATGAGCGGAACTGGGATTCGTCCGCTCGACCGCTGGCGCCGTTGGCTCGACCGCTCGACCGTTGGCGCCGTTGGCTCGGCCGCCTCGCGCCAGCTGAGCCCGTTCCGCTGATTGAATCTGAGAGCGTTGGCTCCGCCGTCGAGCGGTCGAAGCCCGGTTCCGCTGATTGGCTCAGCTGCCTAGCGCTAGGCGAGCTCGCCTCTCATTGGTCGCTGTTTTTCGTTAATAACTCGTAAACGAAGCCGTGGATTGCATTTTCGCCGAGGAAAAAGTTACTTCAAACCACCTCAGGAACCCTTTCATCTCCCGCTTGTACAATAATTTTGCCATACCCTGTATATCCGGTAGATACAAAGGATCTTCCAATAACGACAATATCACTTAGAATTCCCACAAAACGAAAAATTCGTAAGATAATCCGGTATTCGCCGCTTCGTTTTCAAGAACAAATCTACCGATCTCTTAAAGTTAAAAGAATTTATTTCATTGTTTTTTAAGAAAGATTCTTCGTAATTCCAACAATATGAAAATGTGAGACACGTCATTTAAATCGGAATAGTAGTAGGTTCAGCGTCGAGTACACAGAATAGCATTATAATCGCATTATAATTGCACGGTTTCGTTGGCCAAGCAAAAATGCCATTTTCTATTATTTAACAACTGGATAACGATGCATCGATTTCTGTGTTTTCACTGTCTCAAATACCACAATCTAACAACGAGCGATTGTGTATCTGTCGACAATGCCTTGCCGAGCATTAATTAATGCAAACGTCAGCGGATTAATTGAACGACAAGATTGGAAGCGGAAATATGTTGGAAGATCCTCTAATAGGATCGCCAAGACGTGTTCTAAACGTTGCGAATTTCGTACAGGTACAGTCTGCTGGGTGAAAAGTCGGAAAATTTCACCGCGGATCCCGACACCGGTGAGGTGTTCACGGTATTCCCGCTGGATCGGGAGCAAACCTCCGTTTATCACTTGACACTGGTCGCTCAGGATTCCAGCCCGACCGAGCCGACAGCTTCCGCCGTCAATTTGACCATTTACGTCGCGGACGTGAACGACAACGCTCCCAGATTCTCCAGTCCGCGATACACCGCGTACGTGCCAGGTGCGACCAAACCAGGTGAGGATCGAGCTTCCTCGGTTCGTCGATCGTACCGAAAAATCGTCGGAAACCCGTCCTTGGATTCTTTTGAGTCCGAACGTTTTTCCGTTTATCGAATTGACGACTAATTTCCGAGCTTTTCATTCTTCGTTCGGATCAGCTTTTAAACGTCTGCTGCTCGCCATTGACTTTATTCTTGTACTCTTTGGATCCGCCCCTCTCTAATCTCGATACCTCAACTTGCTTTCAACCCTTTGCACTCGAAGCCATTTTAACTGTAAATCTAAATTAATTTTTCTGACTTATGGTATTGTATTTGTCCATTTTATACGACAAAGTGCATTTTATGCGTATGAAATTTAGTCTTGTGACGCGTACAACGATTAGACTTTTAACAATTTTCTACATCTAAACTTTTATAATATAAAAGTTATCTTGAAACGCGATGCGTTTTACCGTTCATCGAATCGATGACTAATTTCCGAGCTTTTCATTCTTCGTTCGGATCAGTTTTTAAACGTCTCTGCTCGCCATTGACTTTATTCTTGTACTCTTTGGATCCGCCCCTCTCTAATCTCGATAGCTCAACTTGCTCTCAACCCTTTGCACTCGAATCCATTTTAACTGTAAATCTAAATTAATTTTTCTGACTTATGGTATTGTATTTGTCCATTTTATACGACAAAGTGCATTTTATGCGTATGAAATTTAGTCTTGTGACGCGTACAACGATTAGACTTTTAACAATTTTCTACATCTAAACTTTTATAATATAAAAGTTATCTTGAAACGCGATGTAACAATTTTAACGGTGCCTCAGAGTCACCACTCGAGTGAAAAGGGTTAACTAATGCTTTTGCATTTGTGCTTTGTTCTTGTTTCTTGAAAATTCTTTGTTCTCTTGGAACGTGATGTAACAATTTTAACGGTGCCTCAGAGTCGCCACTCGAGTGCAAAGGGTTAATTAATGCTTTTGTACTTGTGCTTTGTTCTTGTTTCCGCGTTTATCGCGCGCTTTTCTTAACTCGCCCTAACTTTTTGCTTTCAACTTTTCTACCAGTTTAGATTGCAGCTACTTCATTTTCTCGTGAATATACAGGGTGTCCCAGGTTTTAATGTTCAAACTTTGTTAGTATACCCTATGGCACAAAGTAAGAAAAAAATGTTATGTAAACATAGGTCATATAGAGCTTTATTAAGAAATTATAACAAAAATTCAGAATAGGAATAGTAATCAACTTGCTGTTACTGCGAGCATTGGCTTGAATAGATCAGCACATGCCGTGTGTTTATGTAAGCTGTGTTTATTAATACATTTCGAAATGTATTAATAACCGTTGTTGACAATACATGATTGACATCGATCGAAGATTTTTTTTTATTTTTTATTTTTTTTTTTTAGTTGATTACTATTCCTATTCTGAATTTTTGTTATAACTTCTTAATAAAGCTCTATATGACCTATGTTTACATAACATTTTTTTCTCACTTTGTGCCATAGAATATACTGACAAAGTTTGAACATTAAAACCTGGGACACCCTGTATAAAACTAGCGGTCTAACGATTTTTAAAGCGCAACCCAATTAGTCCAAAAACTATAGAACACAATTATCCGTGCGTGTCAGGTGACTTCGTGTTCGGCGCAAAAGCGGTGGACGTCGACGACGGCGAGAATTCGCGGATCGTGTACCGTCTGCAGGGCATGGACGCGGAGAAATTCGCGATCGACGCTAACAGCGGAGTGATTAGAGCAACGCAGGAATTGGCGAACGACAAGACCACGTACCAACTGCAAATTCTGGCTTCTGATTGCGGGACGACGCCGCAAACGGTCACCGCGGACTTGGTGATACATCTTTGGGAGAAACAACTGTTCCCCAGCTTCCTTTCCACCATGAACACCAGGTTCACGCTGCCCGAGGACGTGCCCGAAGCACGAATGATTACCACGCTGAGCGCGACCACGCCGAAAGTTGGCGCGGCGAGCAATCTCGTCTATGGGATAGCTGGTGGAAATGTGGGAGACGCGTTGAAAATTAATCCCAACACTGGAGAGGTATGATTCTTCATCGATTCTTTTCCTAATCGTTTGACAATCTAAGCTGACAGCGTCGGGTCACAGCGAGAGTTATCTGTTAACCCTTAGCGCTCCATGTCAATGAAAACCGATATCTCTTTCTCCCTTTGTAACATTGATCTCTGCCAAGTCGAGGTATTTCCTGTTAATCTTGCGATAACTTGTATCGTTGCGTTTTCGTTAACTTTGAAATAACGTGTAGTTGGAGTCCAGTTGTTTCATTATATTATTATTGCGAAGTTGGAAATAGGTGCATTAAATCCATGCTTAATATTCAAATATATATCCATTGATTATATTTCCAAATTTACAAATATTTATATTTTATATTTCCAAATGAAATACAGTAGATTTTCTCCAATTCTCCCTCGGCTTGTAAACAAAGATGGACAATTTGGCTGTTGACCGATTGTCAACAGCTATAAAAACGAGCCGTAAAGTTGGAACAATCGTAGCTCCTCTTCTCAAATTACCCATTTTTGTTTCCAAGTTGAGCGTCGATTAGGAAGAATTTTCTGTACTTAACCCTTAACGCTCCACGCGTTTCTCGGGTACTACCTACCAGCAACCCCCTCGTATTTTTGGAGCAAAGTGCCTACGATAAAGGAAGTCTTATTTCGAGCGGAAAAGATTACGCGTCCTTGTGAAAGCGTTCGATTTTATTCATTATATACTGCTAAGTATAAAAATGGGCAAAAAATGTTTTAATCGTAATGGTACACACGCTAAGCACGTTTTCACTACAAAAAACAATTGCCAACGTCGACAAAAACATAGCATCTTCGGTGTAATCATGCTAAAAACATTGGGCTCCGCAGCAGA